AAATTAGACTGTGTGATCTTGAACAAGTTACTTAATATCTCTGGGCCTCAATTTAATGGTATCAAATGGAAATAGCGAGAACAAAGGACACGAAGGTGGGAAGGAAGGAACATGGACCCCTCTCTCATCACTTGGGAATGTGTTTTGCAAGTGTGTGGCTTCACTGAGAGGAATTTGTTGGATAAAATTACAAAAAGCCCAGAGCTGGTACAAAGTTTCAAGATGTCCTCATATTCCAGATTCCTTCTGTTTTCCACCTGACTGTGTGGCTCCTGTCCTCATGGTCAGGCAATGGCTGTTGAACCTGCAGGGAGGAGAGGACATACCTGTGTTTCTGGCAGGAAGAAGAGGAAAGTCCCAAGACAGGAGTGTGAGATACACTGAGAAACCAACTTTCCTCAACTTTCCAAGTGACTTCTACTTCTACTTCATTGACCAGACCGGACTGCACGGCCACTCGTGGCTGCAACGGATGCTGGACATTGAGTTTTTATCTGTGCATGTGACCACCTTGAACACAGCCAGGTTCTGCTAGAGAGAAATAAGAGAATGGTGGCCATGGGCAGCCCTTCTGTAGTTGCAACTCTGCCTACCCAGGGAGACGTGAACCAAACTGTCACAAAGTCACATAAAATGACGACAAAATAACGACAGCATGTGGCTCTCGCTGAGCATATAACCAGGGGTCTGGGCCTGGTCTGGGACTCCCCGAGGGCTTTATCGAGAAGGTGGCATTTGCACCAAGGCCTGAGCGTGCCTAACAGCTCCTGGGCACACAGATGCAAGGGGACCTGACGCAAGGTGGGCACACAAGATCTCCACGGCCCTGTGGAGGGTTTCATACCGATTCTAAGAGCCAAAGAGCGCCCTGGGGAGTCATAGAGGTGAGTGGATTTATGAAAATGTCAACCTTGCTGCACTGTGGGAGATGGGTTGGAGAAGAAATGAATAGTTCAGAGACACCCACTGGGCAAGAGATGACGACCTTGGGAGGGGACCAGGTGGCTTTTGGGGTCCTCAGAAGCAGGTGATTCCAGGCAGTAGTAGGGCTCTGGAAACTGAGGTGGGGCAGGAAGGGAAGGTGATACATGTCACTTTGTCACTCCACTTGAGGAGCCGGCATGGAACACACAGCTCAGAGTGGCAAAGGAGTTGGAGTGTGTAGCAACCAGTTCCCTGTCGGAGGCG